CCTTTTAAAGCTTAACAATGATTATTACTTTCAATCGAGTTTTAGTTACTTACGTACTTAACATTTAATAATATATAATTAATTAATAACCAACATTTTATAACAGTTTCAATGTTTAGAATGTAAAGGGACTTTTCCGATAAAAGATTCTTGAGTTTGCCGGAACATTTCTTCGCAACATTCATTTTTTAGTTCGGCAGATAGGTGCTTGTAGTAGCTCGTAGGTAGGTCTTATAACCCGCGGGTTATTCTCGATCTCGTGTAGGGCAGTGTACAAGGTTCCGAAAAACTAATACAATTTCAACATACTAAGGCTAACTATGGGTTAATAAAAGGTACGAAACGTTGAATTGTTTGAAAAAATAAATGTACACACAATGTAGTTCCGAAAAATATGATATGTGTTAAAATGTGTTCCTAAGAAATAAAAAGCATATAGCGATAAAATTAATATTTAACAAACAATCAAGTACTCGTTCAAATCTCAAAATTAGTAGCAGTAGCGCTCCTTGTGAAAAAGTTCGTCCTGGGAAGTACTGCCACTTTACCTATTTCTAAGCTGTGATATCAGCGTAACTGTGTTCCGGTTTTGAAGGGTAAGGGTAGCTACTGGTGAAATTACAAGCACATGAGACGTTTCCACTTATATCTCAGAGTTACGGGCGCAGTGCCGGTGCTTCTCAGATCTTTTGCGATTTAAAGCTCACAGTGACACTACAACTTCGCTAACAAAGCTTTTCGGCAAAATATAAATAAAGCTGGTAGAATATTATGTCAGCAAGATTTTCCAGTACTTTATTCAGTTATTTCCAAATTCAAAGTCATAATCTTTATTTCATAGGTAAGCACTAGAAATCATCATATTGATTAGAATACAAACTCTACTGCTCATTCGTAACGCCGATTCCCTTGAGAAGAATAAGCAAAAAACTATAGGAGTTGCGCTTTGTAAATAAACATTTACATTCATAATATTTATTTCAAATACCGAAACAACCTGCTAAAGCTAATCGGGTCATCCAAGTACGTCGAAGTAGTATAAAGTTTTTGTTTCACTGCAGTTTTAAAACTCGCAAATAGCAATTTTGAATATCAACCGACATCTTATTATAGAAGCGTACACATTGCCCCTTAAATGAACTTGTGACTTTGTGAAAAC